ATCTGAATATATATAGATTAATGGAATCTAAAATTAAATTTATTTAGTACTTTGAATGTATGCATAATAACAAATTCAATTTACATATTTCATACATCTAATTTAAATTTATTTCAACAAATATTTTAGACCTCATTAATTTCAAATCTTGAAGAAAAACATTATATATATGCTTGCATCTCTTTTGTAGTTTTCTACCATTTCCTTAACAAACACAATATTTTCAAATAGCAGGTTTGTTCTCTTTATATTTTTATATTCTACATAATATTATTAAATTTTCATCTCTCTATATATATGGATGCTCGCTCTTATACACACGTTTTATTATGTATATAAAAATAGAGTTATATATATATATAAATAGAGTCAGATTTACACGTATTTATATTTTTAGATTTTCAATGATTTTAATTTTCATCACAATAATTTGCAACCAAACATGTCAATTTATTAATGTTAGCAATTTTTAAATCGTATTATACATAACCTTTCATAGTTGTACGCCATACTTTTTTTGGATAATCAGAACAGTTGCAAGTATGAGCGTTGTTGGTCATTCGGATAAAAAACTAGATGTCAAACTTGGACACAAAGTATTTTTTTTTTATTTTAATTTTCACATTATTTAGATGTGTTCTTTCGAATATCATTGTGATTTACTGATCATTATTTAACATATTTCCATTATTATCATCAGCTATATTAAAGTTTTTATCATAAACATGAATAGGAATCAATACAGTTTCATAAATTTATATCACTAAATTAAAATAATCAAGTTTTTGCAGTTGTGGCTTTGAAAAAATATTATTATTTACTTCAATAAAATTATTCGTAGCAATGATTACAAATTATAATACAAATTCGTTATGTTTATGTTTTATCAATTTGAAATTTTTTCCCTTCGATTTTATAAAAACTATATTTTGGTTCTCTTCACATTTCCCTAAGTAAACTTTTATAAAAAAACTAGGATTTAAATTTTCACTATTTTATAAGATTTAGATATTTTATTTTTACTATATTTTGGTTTTTTCTCTATCCCGTCCAAAGAAGTATAATAAATTAAATTAATTTATCTAGAATTACTCCTTTCGTATATAATTATAAATATTGTTTGAATTTGAATAATTAAATTTTTGAAAAAGTATAATTGTTCTGCGGGAAAGACGTATGTTGAGAAAAAAATAAAATATCTAAATCTTATAAAATAGTGAAAATTTAAATCCTATTTTTTTTATTTATAAAAGTTTACTTAGGGAAATGTGAAGAGAACCAAAATATAGTTTTTATAAAATCAAAGGGAACAAACTTCAAAGTGATTAAACATAAACATAACGAATTTGTATTATAATTTGTAATCATTGCTACGAATAATTTTATTGAAGTAAATAATAATATTTTTTTTCAAAGCCACAACTGCAAAAACTTGATTATTTTAATTCAGTGATATAAATTTATGAAACAGTATTGATTCCTATTCATATTTATGATAAAAACTTTAATATAACTAATGATAATAATGGAAATATGTTAAATAATGATCATTAAATCACAATGATATTCGAAAGAACACATCTAAATAATGTAAAAATTAAAATAAAAAATACTTTGTGTCCAAGTTTGACATCCAGTTTTTTATCAGAATGACCAACAACGTTCATACTTGCAACTGTTCTGATTATCCAAAAAAAGTATGGCGCACAACTATGAAAGGTTATGTATAATACGATTTAAAAATTGCTAACATTAATAAATTGACATGTTTGATTGCTGATTATTGTGATGAAAATTAAAATCATTGAAAATCTAAAAATATAAATACGTGTAAATCTGACTCTATATATATATATATATATAACTCTATTTTTATATACATAGCGAGCATCCATATATATAGAGAGATGAAAATTTAATAATATTATGTAGAATATAAAAATATAAAGAGAACAAACCTGCTATTTGAAAATATTGTGTTTGTTAAGGAAATGGTAGAACACTACAAAAGAGATGCAAGCATATATATATATATATATAGTGTTTTTCGTCAAGATTTGAAATTAATGAGGTCTAAAATATTTGTTGAAATAAATTTAAATTAGATGTATGAAATTGGTAAATTGAATTTGTTATTATGCATACATTCAAAGTACTAAATAAATTTAATTTTAGATTCCATTAATCTATATATATATATTCAGATTCAAACTCATAGTATAATTACGTTTAAAGTTTTTTTTTGGAAAATTGATATTCAGATTCAAACGTATTAATTTAATTTATTATAATTCAATTGAAAAGGATTCATTGTTTTTTCAAAGAAAGGAGTAATATACATGTATTGAATTTTTTTTATAAAAAAAAAGAAAAAGAAGTAGGACACGTGTGGCATCCTAATGATCAACTGTTCATATATATATATATATATAAGATTATTTTGTTTTTATTTAAAATTTTATTTTTATTATATTTTAAATATTAAAATTAGTTTTAAATATTTTTAGTATTAAAATTTTATTTTAAAATTTTATATATTTGGTTTGTGAACAGTTTTATTTGGCTCGTGGACTAAGACGATATAAGAGGCTTGATATATTTTTTGACTCGCTATGCAAAATGGATTGAACTAAATTGAGTTAAAAAAAAATTCAGATGGGAACGAGGCAAAATAGGTGGGCTCTTTTACACCCTATCTATGGATCGTTCTATGTACGGCGAAGAAGAAATTCAAAAGAAGAATAAGAATCCCACGTCACATGACGTGGGTGGGGGTGTGGTGGGCTTCTTATAAATCAAAGAGCCCAATCAGCAGG